GATTGACATTATATTTAAATAGTTGGAGATTATAGCTCTAATGGAAACAAGAAAAGGGGAGGGTGTTTCACTGGCGCGAAATGCGAGACATGGAGTAGAAGAGGCAGCTAAATTTAACAGTTTCGACAGTGAAAGGGTGAGAGCGAGATGCCAGCCTAGTAGAACGCTTAAATTCATGAAGTCTGGGAACCAGCGAAAGCAGCTCATCGGAGCAGTTACCATGAAAGTATTTGTAGAAAAGAGAGAAGGAGACGACGGCACTTCTTTGAGAGAGTGACTGCAGACGAGATGCTAGATCAGGGCCAATTACATTGCATATCCGTCTTTGGATTTTATCAAGGACTTTGAGACAAACAGTAGGGGCTCCAGACCATATATGGCAGCAATACTCCATGCAATGGCGAATGCTTGATTTGTAGATTTGATGGATCGACTCCGGCGAGAAAAATTTCCTGACGCGACAGAGGGAGCCAACTTTCCTGCAATTATAAATTTTGAAAATTTTGAATTTTTCGGACACTTATTTCATTTGTACTTATAAGACTCGTAAATGCACTTAAAAATAATATAAGACCATATCTTTCTCTGTAGAGGAATCGGTATTTCAACAGTATATCGCCATAAGCCTACATCAGCTTCATTATTGGGGATATTAACGTTGTTTTTTTTACCCATTTATTTTCGTTAGAATTGTGTTAATAATTTTCTTATATAAATATATAATACATTTCTTGATAGTTTTATCCATAATGGAATAATTCTTTGTCTTCTTTTTTCTTCTGTGTACCGTGTCCCCTCAGGACTTCAGTGTTTATGGCTCTCCACAACTTCCTATCAGTAGCTTTTAGCAATATTTTTGTTTTACTACCCCCCCGCTCCATTTCTTGTCATCTTAAACGCAAGCTAGTTTGTTCTCTATTCCTCTTGCCTTAAATATGTCTTGTGAGTGTCACATTCTCCAAGCCTTCTGTGTTGTGGAATTTTCAACTGTCTCTGACTAGAAGTCCAATTGTCCTCCACACTAGGATAGAAAAATGTCGTTCATTACCATAAGAGAACTGACATTAATTTCCTCTATTCTTATAAATGTCGACGCCATTTTTCATTTCAAATCGAAATTTAAAGTGTTGTTTTGAAACACTTACATTTAAAAAATAAGAGAACGTGAATTCTCTGCAAACATTATGCCAAGTAGCCAGCAGAATTACGACAATGATTTTGACGATAACACGACCGGATAATCTAATCGGGATAATCTATAACGTAAAAGATCACCATTGAAAATTCTTGATTTAATTATAACTTCCTGCCGTCATTTCATAGTGGCAATAACTATTGTAACCATTTAATTTAACTTTTGAATGTTGTTGATTTAAAATGAAAACTTTTCAACATGTCTTTGAGTTTTATTTAAATTTTATTTTTTTTAACTACCAATCGAGTATAGTGCAATATTTATTTACTAAGCGTAGATGATGTGTGGCACAATGTCGACGGTAGGCAGCACTTAGTCAGAATCGAACTCACTATTCCGTTGTAATTGACACAGCGAGACAAGCTTGTTAACTATTGTAGCACGTCGAAATACCAAAAGTATAGTGTCATAACGATGGAAAAATAAAATAAACTATTCGTTCCATACATAGTTTTATTTGTTTGTTTTTTTAAGGGCACGTTTGTTAAACTTTGCTAAATCTTTTTATTTATTTATTTTTTAAAATGGTGGATGGTACTCACTATTTCTGCAAATCATTGTTACATCATTGACAGTTGATAGGTAAGAACGGATTCACTCGTTAATCCAAATTCTCTTGGGTTCCATCGTAATAACAGGAATATGTAAATGTGTTTCCTTTCAATTCTCTCTTAACGCTTTATCTACCGAAGCATAAACATTATTAGATCATTGATTTGATTTGAGGCCTCAATAATTCGCTCGATGCAACTATCATTATTCCGTAATATTGCAATCTCATATCATTGGTTTGTCCTGGGTAAGACGTGAAACTACACCCGCATCCTGGGTAAGACGATAAACTACATCCAGCAGCAAGGCCTCTGATCAGGAGGTACTGAGAAGCATGAAACCACATCTTAATTTGCTGGTGTTCCCAGGTCCATCCTGACCTAGGGTGGCAGCACCTGTTAGGGTCGCAGCTATGGGAAAATAGTTAACTATTGTCAGCAATAGTTTTTGAAAAAAATCATTGCGAGCAATACAATTTTGAAGGAGAAATATTACCAGAAACAGATTTTTAATAAAACAAAATATTACCAGCAATAAAAAATATTGTCGGAATTAAATAACCTCTTGAGGTTGATATGCCGCTAAACAAAATAAACCAAACCAATCTAAACCAAAGAATACATATTGTATACATATGAATCTATCCTAAAAATGTTGTCGACATTAAATAACCCATTGAGGTTGATATGCCGTAAAACAAAATAAATCAAACTGATCTAAACCAAAGAATACATATTCTATTCATACGAATCTATCCTAAAAATGTTGTCAGCATTAAATAACCCATTGAGGTTGATATGCCGTTAAACAAAATAAACCAAACCAATCTAAACCAAAGAATACATATTTTATTCATACGAATCTATCCTAAAAATGTTGTCGGCATTAAATAACCTATTGAGGTTGATATGCTGTAAAACAAAATAAACCAAACCAAATCATATCACTGGCCATTTTCGAATCAACCTCGCAAATCTTCTAGTGTCGATTATTTCCTGGAGTTGATGATGACCCTGAAAGAAGACAGCCTACGACCGATTTGTACGATATTTGTGTTCCTACCGAATCAAAGAATGATCTGATTAGATTTTTTTTTTTTTGTAATTCTTGCATGTTTTGGGCGATTTATTTGACTTCCTATCAAATCACGAAGTACTTCCGCCGGTTGTGCTTCACTTTTGTTAGGAATTGTTTTAACTTTTTGACAACAATTATTGAATTTACAATTCCTTGGACATTTTCATTAAAAAAAAAATGGAGGACTTTCAAGATTGCTTAAGAATATCCAGAACCACACAGTTTTTAAGCAATAAATTGTATGTATAAAATATGTTTTTCTTCGCGCTATTAATATTACACAAGACCTTTCCGAGGTCCACCAAATTGTTATAATTATGCAACAAAAGGCAAACGCTAAAAAGTAGGTAATGATATATTTTAAATTAAAATTTTCTGATGACAGACACAATTATAGATTATAAGCTTTATATATATATATATATATATACATATATATATATATATATATATATATATATATATATATATATATATATATATATATATATATGTATGTATAAATAAAATTTCCAATGTTTAGTGACCGACCACGATTTTCAGTTTCATACGTTTTCACGTTATCACCAGGTGGTCAGTAATTGTTGTATTAGAAAATCGGAACTTTATACTCCTTGTCAAGTCCAAGATGGTAGAAATGTAGCAGCTCTCTGTACATCCTACACACACACCGGCTAACGTCACCGACGGTGAAGAAAAAACATCTATATGGACAGGATGAAAAAAAAATAGCCGTAAGTTTACAATTATTGTTAAACTAGCTTAAAGTCGCCTTTTTGGGGAGCATTTAGACCTAGCTCCTGCGAAGGGTTCTTGATTGGGTCTTCACCACAATAGGTAGGGAGAGGTAGATGCGATGGGCAATAATAAACTACAGAAGAACTCAAAATTGATCGCTGCGTTTTAGACTTGCATTAACAACTAAGCCTACGCTTTAAAAGTGCAACGAGAATTTCTTTTGCCGCCACTTAATTTAAAGACGTTTTGATGTACGGAGGTCCTTACTTTCCGTGAAAACAATTATTTTTTTTTTTCTCATGGGTGACTTTCGCTGGATTTCGCAATTAATTTCAATTATTCTCAGCTTTATTTCCAAGCTATAAAAATTGTTATCGCACACAAAATGTCCTGGCAAAAAATCACGTCAAATAATCGCCGAGTCAGTCTTATTCCAAAATGGCATGATATGTTGGGCTATGGCCTCTAGGAGTAAAGTTTTAAAACACGGACAAATTTATTTTGAAACACTGTTATTTGAGAACAGTATTCTTTTTTTTCATTCGAGCATTAACTATTGAAAGTCAAAGAGTTGTGTTTCTTTAATTGAATTTGTTAGTAGAATCTAAGATGGCCGTATTCGAAAACAATCGCCGTAATGAAAACTTGCGAATCCAAAATCTCAGAATTGCGGGTTCGAATCCGTTCTGGAATGTTTTTAATTTGTTCACGGAGTCGGCCAAATTTCAAAATGCTATGATATTTTCGGCTATGGCCTTTGGGATTAAAGTTGAAAAGGTGTGACACAGTGACACACTGAGATTCGCATTTATTATACAGAAGAAATAAAAATAAATAAAGAACAACGGCAGAAACGATTCACCGGTCTGCCAAAAAAAGTTCTGCTGCTTTTAATTCAAAATATATGACCAAAATTATCGAGCCCTTAAAGGCCCTCATGGCAATAAATTATAAATAATATATATATTGTCATCCACAGACAGACTGTTTCGCAGCTCTTCAGTGTGGCTGGATATCTGGTTGCTTCTAGCTAAGATCGAAACCCGACTGAATTGGCGTCAGTCTAGCAATAAGCCGTTGACACGCGGCAGGGATGAAGGTGAATTTAAGCGTATTTATTTTTAGATAAACACACAGTGGCTGAGAGAACTCGTTTCGATTTACCGAAGAGTCATGCATTATTAGCCGCAATAGTCACTGTTTAGAAACCACACTTCTTCCCCAGAGAGCTCAACTGAAATAAGTTTTTATATATATATATATATATATATATATATATATATATATATATATATAATACGCATTTTTAACTTTTAATTTTTAAATTTTTTAAATTTTAATTTAATTTTTTAATTTTAATTTTTTTGTGTGTAACAATTGAGAAACAATGTGTAAAATTTTGATATGAGACGCACAGAAGTCAAGACCTCATTTACATCTACACGCAAAAAGATACCACGATGAAAACTACTAGATAGATAGATAGATAACAAACAGCGAGATAGATAGATAGATAGATAGATAGATAGATAGATAGATAGATAAATAATGAATAAATAACAAACAGCAGATAGATAGATAGATAGATAGATAGATAGATAGATAGATAGATGAACACATTTGATATATATATATATAGATAATCAACAGATTGTAATTGATAGATATAAAAAAACACTTGTGACAGATTATTAACGGATTGTGAGATAGATAGATAGATAGATAGATAGATAGATAGATAGATAGATAGATAGATAGATATAAAAATGATATATTGATAAGTAAACCAACATTAACGTGAACGAATATTTAACAGAAATAGATAGATAGATAGATAGATAGATAGATAGATAGATAGATAGATAGATAGATAGATATGAACACATTTTGATATATATATATATAGATAATCAACAGATTGTAATTGATAGATATAAAAAAACTTGTGATAGATTATTAACGGATTGTGATAGATAGATAGATAGATAGATAGATAGATAGATAGATAGATAGATAGATAAATAAAAAATCCTTTCTGGTCACAGATGAGTGAAGCGATGAATTTTCGATATTTGTATTGTGAGCATCTAATATTTTTATTACAATATATATTGAGCAATTTAATGATTTTTTTTAATTACCAGAAAATATATTCCATATCGCATTCTCCGATGAAGATTTAATAAAAACGAAACATGGTAGATGTATAAATGTTTCCCATTTTGTTCTTCATCTTAACATATACATACATTTATTTAAAATATATCTATATTTGTATCTATTTAACTTAAGGTTACGAAAGATATATAACATATATTGACATGCAAGATAAAAGAGGCCTTGTCTACTATGTTCACTGTGCAGATAATACCACAGTTTATGATCGCAATTCCAAGTATGAAGATAATCACAGGCGTTGCAGTTGAGCTGTGTACTCAAGTGTGAGAAAACCTGGGCGTAAAATTCAGTACTTCAAAACTATCAATTAGTTCATCACCGTTCAAAGTATGACACACGAAATATCATTGTCTTCTCAACCCGGTCCTATGCTCTGAATGTTTTTTGGGTCCCAAGATCACACCAGTTCTAAATATCTGGCTTTATGGTCGTAAGGGGAGCCTTTTACAGAGCTGCCGTCATAGGAGGAGCATGTTTCAGTTTATGCGGACCGTTAATATTTTGTTGCTAGTAGAGGAAGACTTCCCAGATAATTGATTAACTAGCCACGCCCACAATAACCGTCCCTTCGTATTTATTTTCTTTACCCCCGGGGCGTAGATCTGGTTTTTGTTCTTTTATTCTCTTGTTTTTTTTTTTTTTTTTTTTTTTTTTTTTTTTTTTTTTTTTTTTTTTTGGGGGGTATTGGGGGTCTGTTTCAGTTTATGTTTTTTCATCTCATATTTATTCGGCCTCACTAATCAGCCCCACTTCCTCTTTCGCTACCAGTTATCTGGATCTTCTATTTTGCCTGAGTTACCATCAGTAATTCGACCATATTCCTTTCTAAATCTTGATTTGCAGCAATGAAAGAAGTCAAAGAGGCAGAGACAAATAAGCATCGATCGTCGATTTGCTACCAAATCTATAAGATGTTATCCCACAGTGTCGGTAGTGTAACGGTTAGCGATTCAAAAAAAGGTACATCGGCGAGCAAAGTTCGAAATTCCGTCGAATTCGTTGCATTAATTTTCGCACCAATAGGCTTAGGAAAGGCATTGAATTCATCAGTCTCTCTCTCCAATAATGGGTCAAACAGCAGCGCCGATTGAGCTTACTAGCCATAGCTGTTACCCAGTCCAAGAGAATGACTACCTGCTGTTGTTTTGGTGAGTTATATTGTATATTCTCGTAAATGACCTCCAATCTGTGGTTGACTGGGTCAGGAAATGGCTTGTAACCTTTAATGGCTCCAAAACTGTTATACCCGAACATACCTATTTTATTGTTAATAGACTCTCCCACATATAAGAAGTAGTAGTAGTAGCAGTCGCCAGTGAGCTCAGTGAGTTGGTCAGTCAGTCGATGTCGGACATTAAAGTATCAGCCACCACAACTAGATTGCTGCGTCATTAACTATTATATCAAGTTCCTAACGTTTTGTACGTCGAATCTATTTTAGGACCGACTTAGTGAAATACAAGCATCCACTGTGAAACTACACTACAATAAAAACGAAACTTCTCTTCTTCACCCACCGCAGAGAACGTTCCCAAAATCCCATCAGAATGGCTGATGCCCAACTCCATGTGAGTGCCTCATTACGCCTGCTTTGTCTCACGCAGTCCACTGACATGAGGTGGAACAAATACATTGAATCAATGGCTTCATCTACCAAAAGGAAAGTTGGCTCGCTGTGTCGTACCAGAAAGTTTTTTTTTTCTCGCCTGAGTCCCTCCTTCAAATATACAAATCAACCATCCGTCTTTGCAGGGAATATTGCTGCCATATATCGTCTGGTGCCCCCGCTGTGCGTCTCGAGGTCCCCGACAAAATCCAGAGATAATCCAATATGCAATGCGATAGGTCCTGATCTGGCAATCCTCTAGAGTCGCTTTCTCAAAGACGTGCCGTTGCTTGCCTCTGTCTCTTCTACAATTATTTTCACGGCAACTGTTCCGACGAGCTACTTTCGCTGTTTCCCAGACTGCATGAATTTAAGCGAGCAACTAAGCTCATATCTTGGTCCCACCCTTTCACTGTCGAAACGGTTAAATGTAACCGTCTATTCTACTCCAACAGCTTCTCTCGCACTTCCCGTCTGCGGAATTCCCTTCCTCTTGCTTGCTTCCTTTATAAATATAATCTTCAAATATTCAAGTGTAATGTCAATCGTCATCCTCTGACACCTTGATTTTGCTGCCCCGTCCTTTTCTGTAGCCTTTTCTCAAACGCCCCTCTTTACTCTTGTTCTCAATCCTCTGTAAGCCCTTGCGTGCTAGTGGCTCTCCTGCCTTCCTTGCGGTGAATCGTCTTAACAAAATTAGTTATTAAAAAATTACAATTAATTGCGTCTCTGGGTCGCAGTAAATATGATTTCGACTTAGATGGATTTACAGTCGTCGAGTCGAAAAGAAGGGTATTTTGCTCTTTGATGCGTGGAAGAGAGAGTATTTTCTCTAGTAGCGAGCGGACCAATATCGCTCTATTTCTAACATGTTGATTTTCTGCAGGTCATTGTAAACAGCAGCTTATTCTGTTATACACCCAAACAATTGTGAAGAGTTGAAGACCTATCAGTACATGAAACTGGAGAAACTGAATCGCTACGTTGTCACCATAAATACCGAGGGACCTCATAGACTGTAGCAGAACATCCATCGGCACACGGTATATGATCGGTAGTAATGAGACTTTGTCATGTTAAGGCTAAAGATATTTCGTGGAGGAAAGCTCTTTATTTTCTGTTGAGGCTTGCATTCCCACTAGGCAGATAATGATCTGATGTATGAATTTTATTGTCTGATGAACAATTGATTTTTTCCGACAAGGAAATCAGGTAAAGTCTTTTACTTATATTCTTCAATTGAAATATCATCTTGATCAATATAGATTTTCTATTTTGATCAAGATGATAGAAGAAGAGGAAGAAGACGAAGAGAAAAGGAAAGAGGAATAGAAAAAAGATAAGAAAAGGATAATTGGAAGATTTAGAAAAAGGAGGAGGAAAAGGTGAAAACGGGGAAGAATTAGTTCAGAAGAACAACAACAAGAAGAACGAGGAGCATAAGAAGAAGAAGAAAATACGAAGAAGGAAGAGGAGGATAAAATAATAATGAGGAGGAGGAACAGAAGAAGAAGAAGAAGAATTAGGAAAGAAGAACAAAGAGGAGGGGGTGAGTAGAAAAAGAGGAATTAGAGGAAGAAGAAAAAGATGATGAAGAAGAAGAACGAGGAGCAGAAGAAGAAAAAATAGAAAACAAGAAGAAGGTGGAGGAGAGAAGAGGAGGAGAGAAGAGGAGGAAGAAGTATGAAGAGGATGAACAGAAGTAGTAGTAGGAGAAGATAAAGAAGAATTAGAAAAGGACGAGGACAGGGTGTTAGAAGAAGAAGAAGAAGAAGAAGAAGAAGAAGAAGAAGACGGAGGAGGTGTAGAAGAAGAAGACGGAGGAGGTGTAGAAGAAGAAGAAGAAGAAGAAGAAGAATAAGAAGAAGAAAAAGACGGAGGAGGTGTAGAAGAAGAAGAAGAAGAAGAAGAAGAAGAAGAAGAAGGAGTAGAAGGAGAAGAACTCGCAGAAAAAAGAACTAAAAAAATAAAAAAGATGGTGATGATAAAAAGATGCAGAAGAAGAAGGAGGAGGTGGGGGGGGCGAAGAAGAAAGACAAAGAGGAGGAGAAGAAGAAAAAGAATACGAAAAATTAGAAGATAAAAAGGAGGAGTGAAAACGCAATACCAAGAAGAAAAGAATGATAAAAGAAGTAGTAGGAAGAAGGTTAGGGTAGAAGATGAAGAAGAAGAAGAAGAAGGAGAAGAAAAAGAAGGGGGAGAAGGACGAAAGAAGAAGACTGAGGAAAAGAAGAAATAGAAAAGAAGAAAAAGGAGGAAGAAGGCTGAGGAAAAGAAGAAATAGAAAAGAAGAAAAAGGAGGTGAGAAAAAGGCGAAAGAGAAGGAAGAAAGAAAGAAAGAAAGAAAGAAAGAAAGAAAGAAAGAAGAAGAAGAAAAAGGAGGAAGAAGGCTGAGGAAAAGAAGAAATAGAAAAGAAGAAAAAGGAGGTGAGAAAAAGGCGAAAGAGAAGAAAGAAAAAAAGAAAGAAGAAGAAGAAGAAAAAGGAGGAAGAAGGCTGAGGAAAAGAAGAAATACAAAAGAAGAAAAAGGAGGTGAGAAAAAGGCGAAAGAGAAGGAAGAAAGAAAGAAAGAAAGAAAGAAAGAAAGAAAGAAGAAGAAGAAGAAGAAGAAGAAGAAGAAGAAAATAAAAAGGATTAGGAAAGAAGAATGAGGCGGAAGTGAGGGAAGAAGATTAAACATATGGAATCCGAACCTTCGTCTCTTACATTTTTGAGTCAGTTTCTGGAATAGTCTATTTTTTTCTTATTCTTGTTTTGCGCGTGTATTACTCTTTCCCAGCGGTGCTGAAATTTCAGTTTCCATTTGTACTGGGTTTTTTTTATCATTATTTTGAATTCTTGAGTTATTTCCGGCAAACCCACTTTTGGTGACCTCTATATTTTCTTTAGTTTCAAGAACGCATGCGTCATCGACAGACCATCCAACCAAACTGCCCTTCTAGACGGCGCGACTACTGTCGGCCATTTGCAAAAATCTAATATTTCACTTCTGCTTCTCTCTCCTTCTCTCTCTATCTCTTTTCGTAATTCTTTCTTCCTTCAAAAACACCAAAACAAATAAAAATTGAAGGGAAAACATTCCGCTAAAAAGACAGAGCAAAAATTTAAAACAAAAAGTTCACTATCGAATGACAAAAAAAGATTCAAAGAAAAGAAAACTATTTAAAAGTGAGTTACCAAAAACAAAACAAAAAACCAATGTCCAAATCAACGACAGTAGTCTGACCTATGAGAAAGAAAAAAATAAGCGTCGAAACACTAAAATAGACAGCATTTTTTTTACCTCAACATTACACCAAATATAGATATCATCTTTAAGATACTAAATATAGGCAAAAGATTCAATAAATATATTTATATATAATGAAGCAATACATATTTTTAAAAATTAATAACAGATATGGAAAATCGAAGCATATTAATACTTACTATCCCTGTAGATAAATAACGAAATAAAAATGTTTTTCAATTATATATAGAATATTTTAGCCAATATATATATTTATATAAATATATATAAGATTTAAGAATATAATAGTTCACAAGTAAAGCAGACATTTTCATATAATGTTCAATATTAAAAATATGAAAATAATATTAATATTAAAAATAGAACATTGATAATATGATAGAGTTACTTCATATAACAATTTTTGATGTTATTTCACCGACTTCGAAGTTTCTTGGAATTTTTTTGTCCATTCTTCAAGGGGGCCATTGTCTGAATGGACAATTCCAAGAAACTTAGAAGTCGGGGAAAAACATCAAAAATTGATATTAACTTTATAATATCGTTGGTCACTTAGCTATTCGTCCACTCTTCAGGAGGAATAAGCAATTTTCAGTTTATATTTCCCGATTTTTCTTTTTATGCACTTATTATTGGTGTAAGATTTGTTTTCGTATTGTTTGTCTACGTGCGTGCGTTTTCTTGCGTGCAGCCATGCGCTCATCTGTGCGGATTTGCATAACAACATGTGTAGGAATTTACACCAAAAGTATTTCACAATCTTAAAGAACTCATTTTTATGTCTGATGCGTGCACACACGTATTGAAATAGAGATAGATAGATAGATAGATATGAAGAGGTCTTCATATATAGACAGATATAAAGGGGTTTGCATAGATAGATAGATAGATAGATAGATAGATAGATAGATAGATAGATAGATAGATAGATAGATATGAAGAGGTTTGCATAGATAGATAGATAGATAGATAGATAGATAGATAGATAGATAGATATGAAGAGGTTTGCATAGATAGATAGATAGATAGATATGCAGAGGTATGTAAATATGTATAGATAGATAGATAGATATGCAGAGGTTTTCATAGATAAAGAGATAGATATGAAGAGGTTTGCATAGATAGATAGATAGATAGATAGATAGATAGATAGATAGATATGAACAGATTCGGATAGATAGATAGATAGATAGATAGATAGATAGATAGATAGATAGATAGATAGATTTGAACACATTCGGTAGATAGATAGATAGATAGATAGATAGATAGATAGATAGATAGATAGATATGAAGAGACTGGTAAAAGACTGAGAGACAAACAGATAAGAACAAACTGAGATAGATAGATAGATAGATAGATAGATAGATAGATAGATAGATAGATAGATAGATAGATGATTGCTTGTGTTAATGTGAGCGAAATGACAGAGCATAGCATAATTCCGAATTTGTATTGGAAATACGTAAAAACCGATTCAGCGTCAATAGCAAAATTCCCGTAAAAAAGTACAGCGAAATCCAATCACAGTTCGTCTTTCGCGACTCCACCCAACCTGATTTCCGCTTCTGGGATAATCCAGATTAACTGCTGATGTAGGCAAGACTCAAAGAAACTCATGGCAAAATCCGGTTACTGAAAATCCCTAAGTAATCTGGGAGATTTTTTTGTAAAGAGATCTTGTACGAACAACAATAAACGCACACGCACATACACACACATGCGCACACACGCATATATATATATGTGTGTGTGTGTATATATATATATATATATATATATATATATATATATATATATATATATATATACATATATAAAGTGAGATAGATATATATAAATATATATATATATATATATATATATATATATATATATATATATATATAAAGAGAGATAAAGAAGAGCGATAGTGACAGAGAGAGACAGAAAGACAGATATATATTTCGATTCTAAGAAAATAAATTATAATCACAATGAACCCTTAAAGTTGATGTTTCTAAATTATATATATATATATATATATATATTTGATTGATAGATAGACAGATATATATATATATATATATATTGAGAACTTTTAGCTATAAATATACTATACCTTAAAATATATTTTATCGTGTATGTATGTGTGTATGTTTTGTGTGTGTATGCGTGCACATATATTTTATATTTATGTGTATTTATATATCTAAGGTTATATATATATATATATATATATATATATATATATATATATATATATATATATATATATATACACACACAGTGATCGTACAGCAAGCAAATGCTTGTTATTCTCACTTATAGTGAATGAAAACCTCGAATAACAATGTTATATATGTATTTTGGGGCATAGAATCAGAATCTGCAATTTAAAATTAAAAATTCATCGATAAATAATAGTTATGCAATTTTTTTATATTTCGAATAATGGAAAAAGTGTTCGTAAAGGATCAAGTTTTTCATTATAAAACGGAAGATTTCGGTTGTACTTCAAAAGTAGAAGATTCTAAACTGTTCTAGAATATTCTCTGTAACTCTATTGCAACATTCAGTTCAAAATTGGATTATTCTGCAGACTCAGTTCACTGATAACGGTTCCAATAATGGCTAGACGTAAGGAAATGACTTGTGCTCAAAAAGAGCTAATTATTAAGCTATGGAACAATGGGAAATGTTACAGTAACATCTCCAGTGACACGATTCTACCTTTTTCAACAATTGGTTCATTTATTGCAAGATTTAAAAGACGTAATACTGTTGAGAACAAAGGCAGACCCAGTGCTCCCAGGTAGATCTCTCCCAGATTACGAAGAAAGTTGATGCAACAGGTCCAAAATAACCCAATGGCCATCAGACAAGACCTTCAGAATGATCTGAGTTTGTCAGGAGTTAACATAACTAAGCAAATGATTTGTAATAACCTACGCAAAGACGGTATAAAGTCGCACTCCCCAAGAAAGAAACCACTCCTTCTGAAACGGCATAGAGATGCCAGGTTGAAATTTGCGACAGAGCATAAAGATAAGGAAAATTCTTATTGGGAAAGAGTTCTTTAGACAGATGAGAGTAAAATTGAGTTGTTCGGTTGCAATTTCCCTTAATAATGTATGGAGGAAAGACGGCGAAGCATACGCACACAAGGACAACATCCCAACTGTCAAATTTGGTGGGGGTAGTATCATGTTTTGGGGCTGCTTTTCGATACGAGCTGTTGGCAAACTAGCAATTATAGACGGTAGAATGAATGAAGAAAAATATCAACAAATCCTAAGTGAAAATTTATCGCTTTATGTAGAGAATCTTGGGCTTCATTCTGATTGGATTTTCCAACAGGACAATGATCCCAAGCATACTGCTAAGAGTACGAAGAATTGGCTTGCTAATAACAACGTTAACATCTTACAATGGCTCAGCCATCCGCCAGATTTGAATCCGATAGAGAATTTATGGCGGTTTTTGAAAAATAAGATCCGTGATAGAGGTCCAACAGGCATCAAAAACCTGAAGACAGTTACTCAGGAAGAGTGGGATAAAATACCTTCTAAAGTGTGCGAATCGTTAATTAAAGACTACAGGAAGAGATTGGTTGCTGTTGAACTTAATAAAGGCTTTGCTACAAAATATTTAATGGAGAAAACATGTTTTTGTTCTAGTGTACGATCATTTTTTAAACCCCTAAAAATTTAAATATTGCTATATTTTCTTAACAATGGAATATTATTAAGTTTTATATGCATACATTTTTAGTATGCAATCTAATACAGTAGATATATTCCCGTTTTGTTAATTTAATATGTTACAAATAAAAATATGTAATATTTTCATGTGTACAATCAATTAATCAACCCCACACTGTCTATATATATATATATATATATATATATATATATATATATATATATATATATATATATATATATATATATATATTATGTTAGTTTATTTAAACCTTTTATTATATCCTTACTCTGTCCTGGGCATTGAGTTCTACCTAGATTCTATCCTCTTGGAATTATTTTTTATACATACATATATATATATATATGTATCTGTATGTATGTATGTATGTATGTATGTATTTATGTATATATATTTATACATTTTAGATATATGATTGCTTATGTATGTGTATATTAACCACTAATATTATCAATATATATATATATATATATATATATATATATATATATATATATATATATATATTATGAAAATATATAGAAAATAGGAAGGAACTGTTTAGGTAAGTAATCCAAAGTTCCTTAGTATTTTAGTTATTATTTTTTTAAAAATACATCTATGAAAGTAACTCTGTACTGATACTTATTATTAACACCCAACACACGCCTACCCAATTAAAACAATTCGCCCTAGCTGTTACCATGGAAATTTTGATTTCAATTATATAACGTAAATTTCAGAAATACGTTATTCCCCAAAAAAAATCGCTTGAAGATGGAACAGAGCTTACTTTAATTCAATTTATGTCAAATGATTATATAGAAGTTTTCGGATCTTGTTTTGAAACATGAGACCTCTTATGTCGCGAGTTGGAATCATATTTTTAAATAAATAATTATATATATATATATATATATATATATATATATATATATATATATATATATATTTTTTCATGTTTTCTGCCTTAAAACTGATGAGTATAATTTTTACATTATACTTGTGCATGAAGCTAAATAGATAGATGGATAGATAGATATTGTCTCACCTCGACTCCTACCAGAATATGTTTGCATTCAGTGTCACACCGCTTCACCAAATAGGAATTTGCAGGCTTCACCTCAGCCGTCCTCGGACCCCACCAGTGGAGCTGGACGTGATTGGCCCAACTGCCCCTGATAGGTAACGCGTGAATAAGTGCAGCATGACAGATTTATGTATAAACAACCACACCAGCTTTTAAAGTGGCATTCTCTTTCAGAAAATGCTGACCAAAATGTAATGTCCATGTCCATGTTCAGTACAGGGAGTGATAACACACACAGTGGTGAACAGTAATTTTCAAATATTATTGGTGTTATTAATTACTTTGCACGACAATGTCACAATAGGTAAATATGAACAAAATTAGAAAGACGGAATTTAACAAGGAAATGAAAATATTTATATATCTATAATTTTGTTCTGCTGCTTACGTAAATAGTTAATTTATACATACATTCATAAATACGTTTTGTTTTTTGTTTCTTTTTTTCAAATGGATGAGAATTCCAACAGATCTCAACAACTAAACCAGCAGATGAAGATGGCTACGCATGACAGACAAGTTACAGTAGGCCCCACTCGATATTATAACATAGGCAGCGGTAGTCTGTTGCAGTTTCATAACTACTCTCTCATTTCATGTGTCACAGTGGAAGGTCATTAAAAAGTGGGTTGGTCAGTTTCTGGCAATCTGAGGTTCACTTTAAAGAAACTCACGCCGTCACTACTTCTACTCTGATTTTCTTTCATCTTCAACCAACTCTTGAAAAGCCAAACGGCAATATTGTATGGATGACTGGAGTAGGTTTTGGTGAAACTTGAAGCTTCACATACTCAACCTGCGCGTTGTCGGTGTATATAGTCATCAATACCATCAACATAAAGGAATATATATATTGAAGGGTAAAAAGAAGCTGAAGACATTTCTGGTCATAATGTGAATCTTTTTTATATCTTTTTTTTACATATTTTTGCTACACCAGTTTCGGGTTTTGTGACCTTCATTAGGCAAAGAATGGTTATTTCAACATATTATTTCAAAGAATTCATTTTTTCTTACGTTTCTTACTTCTGTCTACCCATTCCTTTTATGTGTGGTAGTAATTCATTTTTTTCTTAGGCTGGCGGGAAAAATATTCCTCTGCTTAAGGGATAATAAAACAATTAAAACGCTGCCACGATACAGGACGGAGTACAGAAAATTACACAATGAAATAAAGACCAAGACTAACTTTATTTTTAAACTTTTTAAAGCATAACTATTTTTTTTAAATTTTATATTTTTCGTCAATTTAGAATACTCCTACTGTCTCGCCAAATTCATTACTCGTACGTCTTCCTCATGTTTTTTTTTTTTTTTTTTTTAATATCCCGCTTTGCGTCAAGCGAAATCATTCGTTTCGAGTTTTCACTACTGCTCTTTACACATAATTTTCTTCGGATCTTTTGTGTCAATAAAGGGATTTTGCAAAATAACGACAAAAGGCAGAGCAAAACAGAACAGAGACCCTTCGAGAGCGAAGTGAAATTTCTCCAAGGTCTTGCGTTTGGTGACTGAAAAAGCGGAGGCTTAACTGAAATTCACTCACACGTGTGTGTGTGTGTGTGTGTGTGTGTGTGTGTGTGTGTGTGTGTGTGTGCGTGCGTGCGTGCGTGTGTGTGTGTGTGTGTGTGTGTGTGTGTGTGTGTGTGTGTGTGTGTGTG